AATATAGGATCTGTAACAATGTTATGGGACTTTACAATACACGCTGACAAAACAATCAAAGTTAATTAACCAAACATCGAAATCAAAGAACACAAGAATAGAATGTACTTTCTTATGGACATGGCAGTCTCTTCAGATTGTAATGTATATTTGAAGATCTTCGAAAGACAAGGATCTTGAAGTGGATATCTAAAAAAGATGGTGCATGCGGATATCAATAATTCCAGTTGTGGCTGGACCACTTGGATTGATTGGGAAAAAAGTTCTGATAGACTCATTGAATGGAACTCTGGTAGCACATGCCTTAAAGAAATTGTTGAAACTTGACTAATGCATGGAATAATAATGCAACACAAAATGTACTTAGAACAAAATGTATTGAAACAAGAAAGTGTACACAATATTTACATATAGCTATTTGTATATTCCTGGTAAGACCGTTCCTGGAGAATGTGTTGACTGAGTCGCAGTCGAGCAGAGTCTCTGGTTGAATCTCTTGATTCCTCCCTCTCTTCCCGGTACCAACCATATTTATATGGTCGGTACTCCACTATGCAAATTAGGTGGATCCTACCACAACAGAAATACAAAAAAAAAAAAAATTCACAAGTAAAGCTCACACCTTACGAAGGATTTTATCAATGTAAAATGCGACTGATCTTAGGGTGTTTTACTTTAGAATAAACCTTAAAAAAAAAAGAGAAAACAAATCCAATGGATCAAATGAAGAATAAATTGCGAGAAAAAAAAAGACTCTTCTTGGTCAATAATCTATTTAACCCAAACAAGCTGATGTAGACAAAAGCCACACCCATCTATTGCCACGAAGATCTGGATTAAAAGCTGAAATCGAAGGTTTCATGGTGCTAGTATCCACCGAACAAAAAGAAAAAGAAATGCGGCAAGACAGGACGGTCCAATATCAGCATTGGAAAATCTGCAATATTTATGGAAACGGGAACTGCAAGAAATTGGCATGAACCCCACCCAAACCCGTTTACAGACATTTGATCTGTAACAATATTATGGAACATAAAATATTGGAGATTTACAATTACATAAAGCTAATCGTCAAGACATTTACGTTCAAAGACCACAAATGCTTTCGTATTGATATGGCAGTTCCAGCAGACCGTAATCTAACTTTGAAGATATTAAAAAAACCATCAAAAAGATCTTGAAGTGGAAGTCTAAAAGATGTGACATATGAAGAGATCAATAATTCCAGTTGGAGTTGGATTCCTGGATTTGATTGTTAAAAGGCGCTGATAGACACACCGAAGGGATCCCTGATAACCTTTGACTTAAAGAAATAAAACATGTTGTCATCACAAGTACAGCTCATAACCTACGTAGGAATATATCTATATAAAATGTTTGTCTTTTCGTATGTTCTTTTTTTTTTTTTTTTTTGACAAAAATTTTCATTTGAATATGCCGTGATACAATTTCTGAATTTTTCTTGGGACACAGAAAGAAATAAGTTAACAAGTGAAATCAAAGGAAATTATGAGAATAATAATAATAATAATAATAATAATAATGATAATAATAATAATCTCGAAAATGTGGCATATGGGAACATCAACAATCCCTGTTGTAGTTGGAGCCCTAGGACTGGTTGGAAAAGATTGCAGTAGACTAATTGAAGGGATTCCTGGAAGTCCATGCCTCAAGGAGATACAAAGAATTGTTCTGACAAGTACAGCCCACACCTTACGAAGGGCTTTTTCTATGTAATTTAATTTTTTTTTTTGTCAGTGGAAAGTGTCATGACGCCATTTCTAACCTTAGGTCCCAAGGGACCCGGAAAGAAATGTGTAAACGCCAGAAATCAAAGAAAATAATAATAATAATAATAATGATAATGATAATAATAATAATAAGTAGAAGAAGAAGAGGAAGAAAAAGAAAAAAAGAAGAAAAAGAATGAGGAGTGAAGTACACTAAAGAGGCGAATAATAAGAAGAAGAGGAAGAAGAAGAAGATGAAGAAGAAGAAGATGAAGAAAGAATGAGGAGTGAAGTACACTGAAGAGGCGAATAATAATAATAATAATAATAATAATAATAATAAGAAGAAGAAGAAGAAGAAGATAAAGAAAGAGAAGAAGAGGAAGAAGAAGAAAAAAAAGAAAGAATGAGGAGTGAATACACTGAAGAAGCGAATAATAATAAGAAGAAGAAGAGGAAGAAGAAGAAGAAGATGAAGAAGAAGAAGAAGAGGAAGAAGAAGAAGATAAAGAAGAAGAAGAAGAGGAGGAAGAAGAAGACGATAAAGAAGAAGAAGAAGAGGAGGAGGAAGAAGAAGATGAAGAAGAAGAAGAGGAAGAAGAAGAAGAAGATAAAGAAGAAGAAGAAAGAATGAGGAGTGAAGTACACTGAAGAGGCGAATAATAATAATAATAATAATAAGAAGAAGAAGAAGAAGAAGATAAAGAAAGAGAAGAAGAGGAAGAAGAAGAAGATTAAGAAGAAGAAAAAAAGAAAGAATGAGGAGTGAAGTACACTGAAGAGGCGAATAATAATAATAATAATAATTATAATAATAATAATAAGAAGAAGAATATAAAGAAAGAGAAGAAGAAGAAGAAGAAGAAGAAGAAGAAGAAGAAGAAGAAGATGAAGAAGAAGAAAAAAAAAGAAAGAATGAGGAGGAAGTACACTGAAGAGGCGAATAATAATAAGAAGAAGAAGAGGAAGAAGATAAAGAAGAAGAAGAAGATAAAGAAAAAGAAGAAGAAGAAGAAGAAGAAAGAATAGAGGAGGGAAGTACACTTATTAGAAGAAGAAGAAGAAGAAGAAGAAGAAGAAAGCAAAGAACAAGAACAAGAGGAGGAGGACGTAGAGGAGTTGGGAGTGACGATAATTAAATATTCTTCTGATTGTCTGATGCCAAAAATCTTGTCTCTTGAAGTCTCGGCTGATGCCTTGGGGCGACTCGCTCTGCACAAGACAAAAGCAAAACACAATCATAACTTAAAAAGATCCATGAATGTTTCACGCTTTTCTTATTTGAATTCATTGATGAATCTTCACGCTAAAGTGAACAATTTTCGTAGAACTTCCGGTGAGTTCTACGACCAGGAAATATCCGAAGAAATTGCCCTATAGCATCGCTAAATATTTGAGCTTAACAACTTTCAGCAAATACCGCAGCATCAATAATAAATAGGAACACTGGTCGTTATTTTGTTAATATCTGTGCCGAAGATAAAACGATATAGGATTGCACGTCCCAAACTCGTGAAAACCAGAGATTGGCAGCTTATCTCTCATCTGGTCTAATTCAAAGACCTCAATGCCCCGAAGACGAAACACGTTCCATTCTATCATTAGCGATCGGGCCCTGAAAACACACCACATATATATATATATATATATATATATATATATATATATATATATATATGGTATATGTGGTTAGTTAGTTAGTGTGTAAAAAATATATATATATATATATATATATATATATATATATATATATATGGTATATGTTGTTAGTTAGTTAGTTTAAAAAACTAGGTGTATATATATATATATATATATATATATATATATATATATATATATATATATATATATATGGTATATGTGGTTAGTTAGTTTGTAAAAACTAGGTAATCCGTATGGGTAAACCCAAGGAGGATAAAATCCAGAGAGCTCAATGTAAATCCAGAGCAAATAATTTAAATAAAAACAGACAACTTTAAGGTTCTATGTAATAATTTATTTCACCAAAGCCCTTTTGAAGGACTTGCGGATCATCAGATTTTACTTCCAAATGTTGAAACAAAAAATGAAAAGAAATTTACACATTTTTGACGGGCCGTATTAAACTTATGTAAATTAACGAAGTGAGGAAGTGAGAGAGAAGACATGAGTGAGTTAGATGTAATTTAAAATGTCTATACTTTCATACTCAAAATTATTTGAGGAGGTCCAGACACTGACACATTTAAACGTTTAACTTAACGGAAGTTATACATTGATATCGAAGGGGTAGAGGAGAAAAAACACATAAAGAGAAAAAGAGAGAAGGAAGTCATGAGAGAATATCGTACTTATTATAAAACCCAGGTTGTGTGTGTGTGTCTGTTCGTTTAAATCTTTTAAAATATATAGTTCTTAAAGAATTTTGTTTTGTTTTGTTTTGTTTTTAATTTGGGTGACATTAGTAAAATAAAAGTTATGTCAAGTTTTGTTCCTGTGTAATACGTGTGAATTTGATTGTTTTTCCAAACACAAGTCTCTTTTGTATGCGTGTGTGTATATACATGCACACCTAAACTTGTCTATATTTTCCGACAGTCGAAGGTGGGGTATGTAGGTTAATCTGAAAAGTTTGTTTTTACATAAGTAAGGTAAGGTACGTACGTATAGATATACCAAGAAACTGACATGAGTGAGAGAAAGGCAGAACGACAAGCAATGGCGCATTCGCAGTGACGGAGCGTGTAATTTGAGTTAAGCGGTTGTATGGTTTTTTGCATATCTGACACACGATCGCTTCGTGAAGCCCGAGCGCTTCTTTCGAATGTACATGCATTGCCGTAATCCTGGTGTACGGAGCTTCCATTGCAAAGACGAGACGGAATGCTTCTGATAATCTATCGACTTTGAACAGACGCCGAGTAGAAATTAGAAATGGCAGTGAAAGATGAGTAATGATTGGAAGGAAGTTCTCTATTCGGATTTTCCGTGATTTTTTCTTTTTTTTATCATTTTAGTTTGTTTTAATTTCTCTATTTTTTCTTCTTTGCTTTCATTTTCGAATAAATATGCTTTTCGTTTATTTATCGATATGCGTTTTATTTGTTGCAGCGTGATCGATGGTATAGCAACTGATTGATGAGGATGCCGGATTAAGGATAACAAAAAAAAAAAAAAGAAGAGGAAAAAAAGAGGAATAAGAGGAAATAATAAAGGAAAAAAAAAAGCAACAACTTAAGGTATATTTTCATGAAAGGAGACCAAACGAAAAAAAAATAAAGGCGATTC